AGAAAAGCGAAAATAAAGGGCTCAACATCCCTAGTCATCCAGAAAATGCAAATCAAAGAAACAAAGAGATACCATCTTACTCCTGTCAGAATGGCTAAAGTCAATAACACCAATGACAGTTTATGCTGGAGAGGATGTGGAGAAAGGGGAACACTCCTCCACTGCTGGTGGAAGTGCCGACTCTTACACTCCACTTTGGAAATCAATATGGAGGTTCCTCAGGAAAATTGGAATCGGTCTTCCACAAGACCCAGAAATTCCACTTTTAGGCATATACGCAAAAGATGAACATTCATGTCACAAGGACATCTGATCCACTATATTCATAGCAGCAATATTTGTAATAGCCAGAACCTGGAAGCAATCTAGATGTTCCTCAACTGAAGACTGGATGGAGAAAATGTGGTACATTTACACAATGGAGTACTATTCAATGAAAAAAAAACAACAATGCAATCTTTAAATTTGCAGGCAAATGGATGGAACTAGAAGAAACCATCCTGAGTGAGGTAACCCAGTCACAAAAAGAGAAACATGTTATGTACTCACTCGTATATGGATTTTAGACATGAATAAGGAGAGTGCCAGAATATGATCCCACTGCCAGAGAGTCTGGGAAAAAGAACCTTCATCCAGTGACTGATGGAAGCAGAGGAAGACATCCACAACTAAATACTGAACTGAACTTCTGGGATCCAATGACAAAAAGGGAGGACTAATGAGCAAAGTGGTCAAGACTGGGCTGGTTTAACCACAGAAACAGCTTCTCTGAACAAGGGGGAGCTCTTGGACCCCAGACTGATGGCTGGGAGGACACATGGGACTGATCTAGACCCCCTGAATGTGGGTGTCAGTGAGGAGGCCTAGGCAAACCATGGAGCCTTGGGTAGTATTTATCCCTGACATACAAATGGACTTTCGATGTCCATCCTACAATGAGTGATATTCTCTCAGCCTGGACTCTAGAGGGAGGACCTAGGCCCTGCCCAGGATGAAATGTCAGACACTGGAGATTCCCGATGGAGGGCCTCTCCCTCCATGGGGATAGGAGTGGGGATTGGGAGGGGATCTGGAGGACCTGGTGGGTTGGGCAGGGGAGGAGGGAAGGGAGAAGGAGTTGGTATTGATATAGGAAGCAAGCATGTTTCTAATTTAAATTAAAAAAATAAAAAAAGAAAACATGATGTGACTTTGATAAGAAAATGTGATACTGATGTAGATTCATAGACTCCTCACTGGCATGACATTGTCATCTTTGCAGAAGGAATAGGAGGAAGAAGCTAGGGGTCAAATAGAGATTCCCTAGTCTAGCAGTTTCTGCTGAGAAAGTTGTTCCCATTAATTTAAAAGTTGTAGCTGAACTGGAGTAGCACCTTTTGCCCACAGGTGAGCTCTCCACTCTATACTCTGAAGGGTCTCAGTATTCTGTCTCCTGCAGTCTCCCTTTTAAGAGAAAAGCAGAGGCAGACACCCACAGCTAAATTCTGAACAGATCTCCTGGTACCCGGTGACAGAAAGGGAGGAATGATGAGCAAAAAGGTTAAGACCATGCTGGTGAAACCCACAGAAACAGCTGACCTGAACAAGGAGGAATTATAGGTGTGTACCCCACCACCCTGCTTTGATTCACAATCTTAACAGAAAAACACACTGTAATTTTAAGGGTAGGAAAGGAGGGAAAATTTAAATGACAAAGACATTTTAAACTTTGATAGAAATTGACAGATATAGAAGATAGTAAACACTATCCAACCAGCTGAAGTATAATGAGCATTATTGAGTGTAATTCAAGGAGCCAATCCTTAAAATAAATTTCTTATCGTGAAAAGGAGCAATATACACTATATTTTCTATAGTAAGAAATACCACGATATTTTGAGGCAAAAAATACATTATAATTTAAAGCAGTAAAGGCAATTTTGTGTCTAGGAAAATTCATTCTTTTAAAACTGAGGGAGAACAAGCCAGATTGTAACTGGGTTTTCAAAAGTAACCGTCCATCATGGAAGCAAGTGAACCAGTATATTGTATAACCTAAAAGTCATATGGGGCAGGCAAAGATTTCTCATTCACCAAAGGGAGTTTTAAGTACAAAGACCACTAAGATTGCCTTCAACATATTTTAACTCAGAATATTGTTCTCAGTAATTAAAGACATCTTTTGTCCATTTGTATGGATCAAAACTGGTAGTATTGTGTGATATCTATTTTATTTCCTGGTTCATATGCAAGCTACCTGAAATTTCTTCTGGCTCAATCTTAAAAAAATCCATAAACCAAAATTTACTCTCTGATCTCCACTATTATCCTTTACCCTAAACAATCATGCCTCTCCTCAACACAATGGCAGTAGGCTCCATGCTTGTTGTCTGACTTCCGGTCCTGTATCTAACCCACTACTGTGCATGGGTGTACTGAGAACACAGGTTTGCTGACATCATGGAGTTTTGTACACCTGCTCCATGCTCCCTGCTCTATGGCCATAGTTACTAATTCATTATTCCAGTATTCTGTAACTGCAGTGGGCATCTGTCTGCTATTCTCCTGTTGGAGTTCGTCTTGCATAGATTGGATTAGGATTGTTATCTCACAAAACTGAAATGTATTTTTTCAGTTCCCTTGCAGACAGAACACATGCATTGCATTGCTCTGTCTACTCTTTCTGTGCTTTGCATTTTTACGAGGCCTTTAAAATTAATGTTTTAAAGTAAAATATAATTTATTAGTTTCCCCTTCCTCTTCTTCCCTCTAACACCACCAATCTCTCCCGCAGTCCCTCTCAGATTGATGATCTCTTTTTCTTTGGTTATTATTTTTGCAAACATATGCATAAATATATCCATACAGCACAGTGAATCTGTTTACTGATTATTTTGTATTGAATAGATAATTAGGTTGCTCATCCTTAGGAAGGGTAATTGTCCCTCTCCAATGAGACATATTAATCTTCTAACATTGTGAATATGGTTTTATTGCTTTTTTCCAAGCTCCACAATGAAATAAATTATGTTTCTTTTGTTTATTTCTGTATTATTTTACAGCAAGCAGTGTTTTATGTAAGATGTGATTTTCTTACTGTTTCTTAATATCGTCACTGAATTCATAAGCGATTTCAAAGAAAAGAAATCAAATTTATATATCATAGATGGTAGGTCGACAATAATTTTTTACAAAGACAACATATTTTGGGCATTCATTTTTATTATTGTTAAAATCATTTTATTGTTATGAGCTCACAAATACAAACATCACATACCTAAATTAGATATTTAAACACTTGTCCAGTACCAAATTTTGATGCTTTTCAAATTCTGTACTTAATTTCTCATAATCAAATGTCAAGTGCCTATTTAATGCTCCTCTAAAATTCTGTCAGGTTCATCACTGGGGAAGATATGCTTTGAGATGTTTATTGTCAGAGATACAAAACCTTACGAATGACTTTACACACTGTAACTTTTATGTTCAATCTGCTCAAGTATCATGAACCTTATAAAGATTCACCTTTAGTCGCAAGTTAAAAAGAGGTATGATATTACAACTCAACTGTATAGTCTATGATTTATTGGACAATGTGAATTCTACACAGGCCTATTTACTACACATTCTATTATTTTTTTACCTTCTTAATTATTGTGCATGTGCTGATCTTGAAAATGATCTGCTTAAGGGCTCAGTTTTCAAACATCTTAAATCAGCTTGTAAACATAATATAACCTTGTACCACTATTTGGGTATACTTCTTGAAGCCTAAATGCTTTCAGTACAATAATCACAGTGTCCTCTGCCCTGTCCATTGGGTGGCTGCTCATATTTCTTGATGAAAGTGTCTATAATACTGAACTAAATTTCCACCTATTCAAAGAGGACTTGAGAATCTTAGCCACTTACAAACTGTACCCACTGTGATCACAACTGTTTATATTTCCTCACCGAGTTTTTACTGCTAATCAAATGGGTTTTTTTGATACCCTGGAAGCCTTGTTTAACAATAATGTTCACAAAATAGGACATTGTATTATACACATCTTCTCAGACTTTTATAAAATTATATCAAACATCTCTCATTTTATTAATTGGAAAATTTGAAGAGAATTTTACTCATTGCATGATAGCCATGTAGAAAAACAATACCTAGGTCATTTCAGAATCTACAATTTTCATATATGCTTACATTTAAGAGAGATACAGAATTTCAGAATCAGGTTAGATAAATCTAAGTATGTTACTTGAGTGACAAATAGGAAAAAATTTTCTAAAAATATTTCATTTAACACAGGTATTCCTCCCCTTGCTTCTGTTATAACAACTTATGCTTAATTTAAACATTTTAGCGTCCTAAAAACAAAGGAATGACTTTTCGATTTAGAACCATCTCAAACTTTATGGTAATTACAGAACTGATGCAATGTTTGATTATATAACAATGACCTATGTCTACACTTAGCAGCTTAATCTGCTTTTGGGGAATTTGCAGTGTGAATAGACATTTAACTTGTAACTGATTTTTAGGGTTAAAACTTTCTGTTAAGTTTAGAAATTGGAATAAAGAAAAGTGTACAAATCTGTCTTAGTCATAGAAAAAAACAATGTGATTAATTTTTATTATTTGGCAAGATAGAACATACACAAATCTAAAAATACAAACTCAAGTACAAATCCAATTTACTGTCATATTTATATGTGATTCTATAGTAAACATTTAATTACTTGGATGGGATTTCAGTATATTCTAATGTTTAAAATATGAATTATTTATTTATTGCTTGAATAAATGCTAATTTCAAAACCAACTTTTTTCCAATTCAAACTAGGAAGGGTTTAGAAATAAGTTAAGACTAATCATAAGTAGAAAAAGATAAGGTAATATTTAAAACACATTCTTGAGGGAATTTCTTTACAAATGTGTATTATTATTTATTCAACAATCTATAATTTGAGTATCAGAATGAGTTTATGGCCTACATATTTGACCTCATTTTTCTTTGTTTTCTCTTTAGATAAGAAATGTTGAAACAAATCAATGCTTAGACAACATGGGCCGCAAAGAAAATGAAAAAGTGGGTATATTCAACTGCCATGGCATGGGAGGTAACCAGGTACACAGTCTTTTGTTTTCAGCTCCTTACTTGGGGGTAGGAGAGGAGGGTTACTTTTAAAACCATCAATGTCTTCCCTGGTTTATGTGTCGATAATAGATGAATGGGCATTCAAATCAACAACTAATTATGCCTATCTTAGTGGCCTAAGTATCTTGTGAGATAATAGTACACAATTAAATAAAAAAGGCAAAATAAGCCTATGTTAAATGAAGACAGTCAGTATACTTGAACATCACATTTTATCATGATGCATATAAATGCCTGTGGTATTAACTAGTTAAGAAAATTATGTTCCTAAACATCAGTGTTTTCCCAGCGGTGATTATCTGTATTTGTTTTGTTAATTGCAATGTGTCTAAGAACTTAGAAGAGTTTTTGAGTTTCAATAATATTTTGAATTTATGATTCAGAACTGGAGCAGAGAGAAATCTAAGATAAATTTCCTGAGTGGCAGTGCAATTAATTATCATACACATACTAGAGAATAAGAAAAAAAAATCTTAGTTTCTCCTTGAGAATTGAAAAGTTTCTATGGGAGGGACACCCAGAGCCCACTTATTTGTGAATCACTGTAGTGTAGCAGTCCTGAACATAGTCACTTTTAGTTTTCCTGGGAACTATAATCACAACAATGAATCTGAGAGAGCAGATATTCAGTAAGAAAGCTGTCTACAGGACAACAGCAAAAAGTTCTGTGTCAGTGGCAACATTTGTGGGCAAAGTAAATTGAGATTGCAATAGCTGCTCTGTCTAGCATGTGTCAGCATATTGTACAGTGATACATGCTGACTTTGGTACTATGAATCAATAAGAAAATGAGTCCACACAAATGTGGGAGCATGCTTCACAGAGAACTTTCATGATACACACACAAAATATAGGAAAAGTAACTGTCTCACTTAAAAACAAAACAAAAATATTAAAATCCTAATTAATGTGTTTCCAAGTTTCACTTCTAATAAGACGTTTAATATCAAGCTTCTGAATTATTTTATTTGGAAAAAAGGGACTTATTGAAGATAATATAAAACAATTTAGGAAAAAAATGAGCATAAAAATCTGTACAAAATCTCTGCCTTTCAGAAGCTTATCAGTTTCAGGAGGTCCCATGTATTATTAATTTTTGATCTCAGTGACTGTGCTACTGGTGTTACGTTCAGGAAGCAGTCTCCTCTACCAATTTGTTCAAGGGTGCCTCCCACTTTCTCTTCTAAGAGGTTCAGTGTGGCTGGATTGATGTTGAGGTCTTTGATCCATTTGGACTTAAATTTTGTGTATGGCGATAGACATGGATCTATAGGCATTTTTCTACATGCCGGCATCTAGTTATGTCAGCACTATTTGTTGAATATACTGTCTTTTTTCCGTTGTATATTTTTAGCCTCTTTGTCGAAGATCAGATGATCATATGTGTGGGTTAATATCGGGGTGTTCAATTAAATTCCATTGGTCTACCTATCTATTTTTGTGCCAGTAAAAAGCTGTTTTCAGGACTATAGCTCTATAACAGAGCTTGAAATCAGGGATGGTGATGCCTCCAGACATTGCTGTGTTGAATAGGTTTGTTTTGGTTATCCTGGGTCATTTGTTTTTCCATATAAAGTTGATTATTTTTCTTTCAAGGTCTGTGAAGAATTGTGCTGGGATTTTAATAGGGATAGCATTGAATCTGTAGATTGCTTTTGGCTAGATTGACATTTTTGCTACATTGATCCTACCTATCCAAGAGCATGGGAGATCTTTCTATTTTCTGGTGGCTTCTTTAATTTCTTTCTTTAAAGACTCAAAGTTCTTGCGATACAGGTCTTTCACTTGCTTGCTTAGAGTTATCCCAAGGTATTTTATGTTGTTTGTAGCAATTGTAAAGAGTGATGTTTCTCTGATTTCTTTCTCAGCCCTTTTTATTGTCTGTATATAGTAGGGCTACTGATTTTCTTGAGTCGACTTTGTATCCTGCCACTTTGCTGAAGGTATTTATTAGCGGTAGTAGTTTGCTGGTAGAGTTTTTTGGGTCACTTATGTAAACTATCATATCATCTGCAAATAGTGAAAGTTTGATCTCTTCCTTTCCAATTTGTATCCCTTGATCGGTTTTTGTTGTCGTGTTGCTCTACCTACAACTTCAAGGGTAATATTGAGGAGATATGGAGAGAGTGGACAAAATCTCATGGTATTCTACCATCTCTACATTATAAATGTAATGGCAAACTAGAAACCAAACCAATATATTTCTATTTACAAAAGTACTTAGCACTGTTCATAAACATACATATATACTTATTTCAGGACATTTAATCTACAAATAAATCAATACAAATAAATAATCAACGAAATGTTTGATGTGAAGAAAATTGTTTCTTTTGATTTTTTTCTAAAGACACATGATTTATATTCCAACGAAGGAAGCATGATTCACCAGCTGACTGGGACCATTATCCATAAGTATGTTCTTAAATATCTCACGTTAACTGTCGTAGTGGAAAACAGTTGGTATTACATAACCAAGTGGGATAAGCCATAAATAATGTTCTTTCTAATATTATTATTCAGACTGAGCTGGTTGTGTTCACATACTTAGAAATATATGTGTATAATGTACATATACATATATTTTTGTATATACAAGAATACATATACATAATGCACACATACATACAATATATATGTAATAACATTTAAAGAGGACATGAATTTGAAAGAGCAATGGGAGACATATGACAAGGCTCGAGGGAAGAAATAACAGGGAAATGATCTAATTAAATTATAAATTCAAAAATAATTTAAAAACTTGAAAAATGCAACATTAAGAGGCTTATGCCAACAACAAGAGAATGATCCCTGAATCCTTTAGTATTGCTCAGTTAACAACAGTTTCTCTTTTACTGCAAAAAGTGAAAGTATAAAAAAGTTAAATCCTATACTCTATTAGAATTTTTGCTTTTATGAAACTTAGTATTTCTAAGTTATTTAATATAAACATGTTTAAATTTTTCAGTTCCTTACTTTAGGAAGAGAACATATTTTAGGATGTTATTTTCAATTATCCTCAAAAAAACAAAAAACAAAAAACAAAAAGCCGGGCATTGGTGGCACACGCCTTTAATCCCAGCACTCGGGAGGCAGAGGCAGGCGGTTCTCTGTGAGTTTGAGGCCAGGCTGGCCTACAGAGCAGCCTCCAAAACAATACAGAGAAACCCTGTCTCAAAAAACCAAAAAAAATCAATTATCCTTTTATTTTTATATTTTATTCTTTTATATTGCCATGGGAACAACACCAAATTTTTATAGTTATCTACTTACGAATTTTTACAAGTTGCTTCCCACCATTGGAAATATTCATACTGTCCATCCTGTTTTTACACAAAAGTCTTAGTAAACCCAAATATTTAATTTCATTTGCATTCCTATGGAGTTGCTTATTGGTTTATTATTTCAGATGTCTCATGTACCCAGGCTCGCTGTGAGGTTCTTGTACAGTTGAGGCTGGCCTTGACATCCTGTACTTCTGCCTACAGTTCATATGTGTTGGTATTACAGGGTTGAGTCCCATGGTCGTCTTTCCTCAGCTGTATTTCTAAAACAAGGCATTTGTTTGCTTATAAGGATATGTTAACTACACATCTTCTCAAGAATTTTGATGATTGAACCTACTTTACAATAATCTTAAGTTAGTGTACAAAATAATACAGTTTTCTATGATGTTTTTAATCATTTACATATTAGCCATTATACTCTGCTATTGGGTGCACACCCACTGTCCTCTCCCACCACTTTCCTACTCTGACTAGCAACATCCCCGTCTCAAATCTTCTGGCTGTTTCATGTTTTTTATATTCCCCTGTGGTTTCTGTTCCCTTCTTTCCTCTCCTTTTTAAAATTCTTTCTACCATCAATAGCTGCCATTCTAATTCATGTCTTACACTCACACATTTGTAGAAGGCATATATAAATTTAAATTACATACCACATATAAGAGAAAGTCTGCAGTAATTGACATTGAGTTTGAATTATTCTGCCGTTCATAATGGTCTTCAGTTCCACTTTCCTTTAAATAATATATTTTTATTCCCTGTTACAGATTAATAAAATGTCCATTGTACAGATGTAGTATATTTTCTTTAGCAATCATTCTTTTGGTGGCCCTTCTAACTGGACTTCTTTTCTTTTTTTCTTTTTAAAATTTTAATTCTTTTTTAAACAGTTTTATTTTACACACCAATCCCAGTTCCCTCTCCCTCCTTCCCTTCCACTCCCCCCACTATCTCCCCATATTACCACCCATCTACCCCTCAGAGAGGGTGAGACCTTCCACAGGGATCATCAATGTCTATCACATCATGTGGGGCAGGATCAAGACACTCCCCGCTGTATCTTCGATGAGCAAGGAATCCCTCCATAGGGAATAGGCTCCAAGAAGCCAATTCATACACTATGGATAATTACTGGTTCCATTGTCAGTGGCCCCATAAATTGTCCAAGTCCCCCTATTATCACCCACATACAGGGGTCCTAGTTTGGTCTTATGCAGGTTCCCCAACTGTCAGTCCAGAGTCAGTGAATTCCCACTTGCTCACATCAGCTATTTCTGTGGGTTTCCCCATGGGCACATGATTCCCTTGCTCAATTTATCAGTCCTCTTTCTCTACAGCTATATTCCAGGAGTTCATCTCAATGCTTAGCTATCGATCTATGCATCTGCTTACATCAGGTACTGGATGAAGGTTCTATAATGGCATTTAAGGTAGTCATCATTTTTATGATAGGGAAGGGCAGTTAAGGTATCCTCTCTATAGTTGCTTAGATTCTCCCTTACGGTCATCCTTGTGTATTTCTGGGAATTTTGTTAGTGATGGGTTTCTTGTTAACCCCATAATGACTCCCTCTGTCAAGGTATCATTTTCCTTGCTCTCTCTCTCTCTGTTTTTCTCTCAACTCGACCTTCATGATCCCTCATGTTTTCCTCCCCTTCTGCCATCCCCACTCTCCTAATACCCTCC